ATGGCCAACACCATCGACCTCTTGGGCTCAGGAGGACTGACCTCTCAGAGGAACAGCTCTATCTCAAAACTTTACATCTTGTACCAGATTATCAGCATGGCAGCTTCCATCTTGGGCCCTGCCACTATCTGTCTCATGATATCAGGTACGGTTTTGCTTGCAAAGTAAAATTGACAGTAATTTATTTGCATTAGATTCATTGTGCTGTTTTATGGCCAAAATAAGTGCTTTTAAAGGGCTATTAAAGTGCTTTCTTTATCTTGCAGGAAGCTTTGTGTTCATTTTGGAAATGAGTGAAAATATTGCTCTTGCTTTGGCCATAGTGCCCCCTACTGTCTATATCATCTTGTGCTACAAACTGACATCTGACATGCAGATTAAAATTGCAGCAATTATGAGTGTGTTCTACGCATTTCTCATGGCGGGAACAGTTCTCTGCATCATAGGTAACAGCTCTGTTTTTTTTTTTTTTTTCATGTGTAAAAAACGATTTAGAACATCAATATTTTTAGACTGCATATACATATTATTTCCTCATCTCTACTCTCATAGGGGATTTAGTGAGGCAAAAAACTTTTCTGACCCCCAGTGGTCTGTTCCTCATCGGCATGGTGGTGTTGTACATCATTACGGCAGCTTTACACCCTCAGGAGTTCTCACTGGTCATCTATGGGTTGTTATACTTCCTCTGCATTCCCAGCGGGTATTTACTCTTGGCCATTTACTCTATGGTCAACATGAACAATGTCACGTGGGGCACTCGTGAAACCGGCGGCCAGGCTAAGACTACAGCAGTCGATACCATCAAGAAGAAGGTCATGAATGCCACATGTTGCAAATGTCCATGTTTGGAATCTAAAGAAGATTCGAGCAAGGAGATAATACGTGCAGAAACCATAACAGAAACTGAAATGCCACATATTCCTTTGGAAACACAAAGGTAAAAAAAAAAACTACTATAGCACAAATTCACATTGTTTCATCCCATTTCTATCCACCTGTGTAGAATTTTTATAGTTTTATATAGATTTGAAAAAATAAAATTAACAAATTAATTACCTTCAGATTACAGTGGATGTTTTTAATACTACTATCACTAATAATAATACTGTATTCCTACTATGTAGGGCAGAGGAGTTCATCAAAGATGATCATCAAAGTAAGTATGAATTCCATACTTAATATCCTAATATTCTAGCTGTTGACATTGAATTAGATTACAATTAAAATGGTTATATATTTAATTCCAAAAGCTTGGATTGAACATCTGCAGTTGAAATCTTATGACTTTCCCTTGCATGAATCTGCACTTACAAAGGTAGGCTAAGACGATTTGGAAGAAATAAATTATATTATATTATATTTATATTAATTTGTTTATAATTTGTTCATAATTTATTTAATTTTGCAAAAAATTATGTTTATTATTATTCGGCCATAATACATGGCTACATTTGAATGGCTTTCAATGGAGAAAGCAGGTTTTTTGGGGGTTTTTTTTTTTTGGCTGTGCTAACGCCCAACTTTGTGCCCTTGGTTGCTGCAGATATGTCAGGTGCTGGGGCATAGTGCATACACATAATACAATTTTACTGTTTCACCACATGCAGGATGAAATCGAATTCTGGAGAGAATTGCAAAAAAAATATCTAGAACCTCTTAAAGAGAATAAAGAACAACAGGAAACAATGGCTAATGATCTGAGAGAACTTCGAAATAAGGTAAGCCTCGTAAGCTTGTCAATATGCAAAAATGTCTTTGTATGTGGTTTTGTCTATATGCTCTGGAACAGTAAAGTTTTGTCTCATGCTGTTTTGCTGTTCTCTTTCATATAGGTTACATTTGCCTTTTTCTTCTGCAATGCACTTTGGCTTGTGGCAACTTTCTTCCTTGAGACAATTGGTGACTCAATCTCCATAAAGATCCCAAAAATGTATCCTAATGGGACTCTATCCCAAACAGAAGTGTTTTCCATTGATCCAATTGGACTGATGTTTCTACTGAGCTTTGCATTATTGCTGATAGTGCAATTTATTGCAATGCTATACCACAGGTAACTAAACATGCACAAAATAATAAAATCACTCTCACTGATTCTTTTATATGGTTAAAATTGCCAGACCTTTTTGTTTTAGTGTTTCCCTAAATCACAAAGTGGAGATCATACAAAACATTATATAACCAGTGTAAAGTCTGAACATAAATCATTCCGTTTTATTCCTATTTTTAGTAATGGTGTATTATGTTCTTTTGTTTCAGAATCTACACATTAATCCATTTTGTGGCGTATGCTGATACAGAAATTAAAGCTTGTAGAAAGCAGTCACATCAGGTGAGCCAATGGATCACACACTAAATTGTCATTTTAAATGTTTTATTTTATTTTATTATTAACGATGTCCACGTTTCAATAGGTTGCACAGATCCAGGTCTCAAACCCCCAGTATGAGACGCATGAGCCAGATACAGCCTTATTCTTTCAGAACCCCTCTGTTATCACTTCAGTATAAGGATTTGTATTTAATTCTAAAGGTTTATTGGCCTATAGATACTAATGTAGCACTAATAACGTTTTATGAATTATTTATTTAAAGCTCCAGTCCGTAACTTTTTTAAGTTAAAAATAATCCAAAATAATTATATTAAAAAAAACTTATTCTGCCAGTGGTCAAAACTATCTGCTTGCCATAGCTAGATTCAAAACGGTTAGCTTGTAATAATGATTTTAATTCCAGTGGTACTGGTTGGTTTCCGCGGGAAATTCGAGCATGTCTTTGCGTCATTACGTCACACCCGTACACATAAAGAAGGAGTTTCGGCTATAGCCGGCTATACTGCGCGTGACGAGATGTTTAGATGTATAGGCTTTTCTCGCAGCACTTTACATAATTAAACTTATGGCATCCAGAAAGATCCAAACAACAATCATCAGTGTCAACTGGAGATTCAGCAGTTATAAAACCCAAAAGACTTCGTACTTCGGATTTAAGGTGGCTAGAGAAAGAGAAAGAAACCGTCTCATGCGAACACAAGGATTTAAACATCGACGGGGCTTTTGAAAAGTGCGTGAACTCCGTGTTTTGAAGGGGTTCAAAACGGAAGAAGAGACGGCTTTTTTCTGCTGAACAAGGTGCTTCATTTCAATAGTTCAATCGTGTAACAGTGCGTTTTCTTAATTCACACAGTTATGGAGTTTCCTTTGTCGTGCCTTTCTCGTTTTGCTATTATGGAGAATATGAATTCTGAACTACGCAGGTAGCTGCTAACCATAAAACACATTAAATTTAACATTAGTCACGCAATGCTGATGTTGTTAACATGAACAATTTGAGAACAAAGTAGGCTATAATTTGCACGGTTGCTGTAAATCGCGTTGATTAAATCTTACGAAGCTTATCATGTCGAATGCTTTTTCCCCCTTAGTTGGTCAGAACAAAAATGGATGTTACTTACTTGTTCAGAAGACATTTTCTTATGAAAATTCTTATGTTGGTCAAACTTTCAAAAATTGAATCTGTGATTCTGTATGACAGTATCCACACAGCGCGGTGACTGACAGCAGCACTCGCCTCAAAGCACTGTGTTCATCCGCGCTGTTTCATGCCGATATTACAACCCACGTAAAGATGATAATTCCGCGAATCACTGCAGTTACAGATTTCGAACAGAGAGATGGCGACAAAGAGGAAAAGTTACGGACTGCAGCTTTAAGGAGAATTTAAAATTTAAAGAGTAAAAAATATGTCTGACAATTAATGATTTTTATTGAGTATGATATGCCAACTAATAATCAGATTAATCACAATCAATCAACGATACTGGGTAGTTTTTGCTAAATGTTATTATTTCTGCCTACTAAATCTTTGGATATACAGTATATGAACATTACTAGAAGTGACCATTTAAGGCGATTATGTTACTTGTTAAATTAACAATCCTAAAAAATATTTTAAATTATTTCTTTGTATATTTACTGTTGAGTGTATTTAAATAAAAAAAATGATCTATTCTCTTTTGTAATCATCTATCATTGTGACTCCGGACGTTTCAATGTGATTGAATAGAAGTTCAGTTTGTGTGCATTCTTATTGGCTTTACTATCTGAGAAAACTGGGAGTTTTGTGGCACCTGTTGGATATAATAAGAGCTAGGCTACCATGTGTTTCTTTCTCTTTAAAAAACCCCCCCGCCTGTAAGAAGAATTATTTTATTGTTTTATGTGGGTTGCAATAAATTACAAAAAAATATACTATACATTATACTATGAATCCTTTAAAAACAAAACACTTATTGATCACAGTTTTATGCCATCATTGATGTGACATATGAATGGTGCATTTAAATGAATGTATCAATTAATTATAGAAAGACCGATGGTAGTGTTTACTTGTTAATGTTTAAATGTCAATTTGACATATAAATTAAGTTATTAGGTTTCCTATACTTACGATATTGATCCTCACAATGTTGGCCAAACACACACACACCCACACCCACACACATGGTTAAGTTAAAGTTTATTTAGATTAGTTTATATCCAAAATGCCCATAAGAAAGATCTCAGACACTTTCTAATACTTGTAACAACAGTAAATACAATGGTACAATAAAAATCAGCACCATGTCTATGTAGAGCATTTTGCCTCTAACAATATGAGAGATCGAGTCACAGTAGCATGTCTTTCTAAACAATTATACAAAAATGGGAAGCCTTTATAACAACTTTCAATAATAAGGTAATAAATATGATAAGCTTAGATCAGTAGTTCATTAACATTCAAACATGAATATATATGAATTCCATTTTAACGTACATTCACTAGTGATCTGCTAACCACATGCAATGTAATGTTTGTTAATGTCATTAATGAAAGTTTCTTGCCGTAATAGTTTCTTTAAGTTTTACCTGAAATAATTATACAATATTTACATAATAATTTGTGATGTGCAAAAGCACATAACAATAGCACTATGTTAGAGGGCCGAATGTATTGGCAAATTTAGTACAAAAACAAAAGGTTAAAGGCGGAGCTATGAATTATTCAGTACTGGTTCTTAGGGGAAAGTTCTGTCCATGTTCATGGAATCGGCATAAGGATAGACCAGGAATCCAGAGAATGTTGTGTAACGTCCCTGGTTGCTGTAAACGGCGTATCCGTCATCCTGCTGACTGTACAGCCAGACACTGTCTCCTCTTTTCAGCGACAACAGCAGACTCTGACTCTGCATCTCTCTCCTCCGCGACAAGTCCTCGTCGAACACCATGGCCCGCACCTCCCCTCTGCCCATCATCAGCTTCACTGACAACGCCCGACGAGGGTGTTTCCCCACAGTAAACGCGAAGAAGTACGCACCGGGGAAGTGGCAGATGAAACGTCCAGAAGTTTTGTTAAAGTGGCCGCCTATGTTAACGTATTCCACGTCAAACGAGAGAGCTTCTCTTTCCCGATGCCCTCTGCTTTCACCCAGCGCTGAGGATGTTCTTGCCACTGAAAACGCAGAACGTGCTTCCTCAATGGTTGTTGTTCTTCTCCAGTCATAATGGGCATCTATAGGGGGAGGACAACCTGGAATATGAAGGCCTGGAGGAGATAGGTGGTTATTGAGATATCCAACAGATGATGTGGAGTCTGGGTAGACGAGATAACCGCTAAATGTGACGTATGGTCCAACGTTGCTGTAGATGGCGTATTCGGGATTCTCCTGAAGCAGAAGGTAGACCGTATCCATGGGCTTTAGGCTGACCATCACGCTCTGGCTCTGCACCTTGCGACCCTGGTTCCGGTATCCGTCGTACGCCATGGCCTGCACCTCCATGCCGTTCTTCACCAGCATGACAGACAGGATCTTCTTGGGAAACTTTCCCACGGTGAACGAGAAGTAGTACGCACCAGGCAGGCGGCATCGGAAACCACCTGTATCTGGGTTGAAGTCATCACCGATGTTGACAAGAAGGCGGTCAAAAGTCACGACCCGCTGAGTGCCACCCAACACGCTGCTGCTACGTGTGGCGGAAAAGGCTGAGCGCGGGCTTGAAGTCATTGGGGTGATGTTGAGGGATGCTACACAGCCCAGACATGTGACCAGCCCAAGTAAACAGGACACACCACTGCTTGATCTCCATAACGTCACACCAGCTGCTGTAGAAAAATACATTATTGTTATCAAAAGTCTTCAATGTCACTTCTTGGCACTGTTGAAAACGTAAAAAATAGTTATCAAACAATAACAAGTAATTATTCAAAAATATATCAGTGTGCCATTATGTATTTTGCACCAAAGGTACAAATTGACATCTTCAATGCTGTATAATACTTTAAAATCAAACATTTTCCTTGAATTATTTTAATTATGTGATTAACGGGTGTAAATGGTAGCCTATGTTTTAACTCTTCAGTCAGTATGACATTTTTTCACTTTATCGAATTATACGAAACTTGGTGCCTTTTGGGGCACTCGCTATATGAACACACACAAATGTGGATCTGATTAGAAAAGGCTAAATTGTCATAAAAAAAAATATTTTCAGTTAAAAATGACAGCCATAGGAAATAATTGGGAAATATAAAAAATACGAAAATACAAAGCAATTTTCTGAGGTACTGTCTACAAATCAGCCATGCTAAAGTAGTATTTGATATTGTCTAAGTATATATCCAAAGGGAAAACCTTATAAAAGTAAGTAAGGTCTAAAAATGCCCTTATAAACAACTGGGGAATACCCAGCCATATTTGCAGACATAGTGGTTGCACTATAGTATGACAAAATTTTCTTTCATTCTCCCCTCGGATTGCATCAATCTGCCTTCCGTGCATTATATTTTAAGCAACTCATGCTCTATTTTTAACTTAAACACTGTATTAAGTGAAAATAAATATCTATATGTAGAAATAAATGTGCATAATTTAGAGGTGTGTTGTCTAGTACAATAAAAACCCCTCAAAATACAAAATATTACACAGTGCATTCCTTTTTAAAAAGTTATCCTTTTTGTCTCCTGTTCACAAGTGTGACACCTAAGTAAGGAATACCAAAGGGTTAAAGATTTGTATCTAATCTTTTTTCATCTTTTTTCATTTTTTGTATCTAATCAATCTTTAATCACTCGAAAAAAGCAACATCAAAGTCCTGCACTTCTGGCATATTAAATGTGTAATGAACTGGTTAAAATGCCATATAAACGTGCTAGGAAGTTAGGTTTAGCGCTGTCAGAATGGATTCTGCCGTTCATATCAAGTGCTCAGTGGAAGCAGGAGTCCCTCTAATTCAGCTGGCATTGTCTGTTCACAGTGTGCACCGGGAAAAGGCAATAGATTAGACATTGGTTCATCTGCTCCTATGTGCTGGAACAAAGGCATATTTGGGAGGGAGAATTGAAACATGTCACGGGTGCAGATCCATGGGAGACTTCATGGTCAAGTGAAGACCCGGTCAGTTAGTAACAGATAAGAAAGACACAGAAGACCACAATAAGACACATTAAGGGCCAATTAGTGAACAAGGGGTCACTGGTAGTATTTCCTCTCGTTTTGACTTACTGTCAAAATAACTCAAGTTGACAATCAGGAAAGCTTTAGCCAAGAATTCCTACAACTACATTATTATCATCATGTGATGTTCCTCTGTACATACTTTTTTACATTAGCACTTTTATTATTTATACTTGTTTGTAAGTGTAAAGTAATTATAATAATGACAAATATTCCTTTAACACTTCAGTGCATGTGCAGCCTAAACATAATTAAAGTAGACTAGATTTTTATTTATTAATCAGTTATCATAAGATACTCTCAGAGTCTGACTAAATTTCAGTCTTTTAATTTAAGATCTACTCATCTCTTTTGAATATATTTTGATATGTAAATGCTTATAAACATAATATAAATAAATATGAATGCTTATTAATATAATACACATGTAGAGCATAACATAAAAATAGGCCTATCAATCTTAACGTTTTAGCTAGGTTTTGTGAATCATGGGAATTGCTATATTAAACAGGTGTTATTAAACAGGTTCTGTTATTCAATATAAATGAATATGACGTTGTAGAATGCACTGTAGATTCAAACAACAAAAAGAAGAATGGTTATTATTGTCTACAATTACTGTAACACAATATTTGAGCATAAATCATACTTTAAAGACAATAAGAAAAAAATTTTTTAAGCAAACACAGTTTTCATACCTGGTCTAAGTATCTGCAGAAACTTCATTTCTGTGAAGACCTGCTCCCTTGTCAGTTTGTACACCGCTGTGAAGAGGTCCAAAAGTTAATTCTGTTATCTACTCTGGCATCTACTCTCACCGAAAACTAGTGCCTCCCATGTTCAGATAAAAGAGGTATTGGGGAGAGAGAGATAGATGAGAGAGAGAGAGAGAGAGAGAGAGAGAGAGAGAGAGAGAGAGAGAGAGAGAGAGAGAGAGAGAGAGAGAGAGAGAGAGAGAGAGAGAGAGAGAGAGAGAGAGAGAGAGAGAGAGAGAGAGAGAGAGAGAGAGAGAGGAGGTGCTTCATGAAAACAAATTTTCAACCTAAATCAAATATGGTTCATGATTTGATTGTTTATATTTTTATTAAGTTTTATGTTATTTTTATTAAGTTTTAGGGCCTATAGCATAATATTTCTTAAAAGTCCTCATTTCGAAATGTTCACCTTTATGTATAGCCTATCAGAATTGTGATATAGGCCTAACACAAATCAGAATTGTGAGATGTCAAAGATGTGAGATGTTTTTTTTATTTATTTTTTTCTATTCCGTGGAAACAAGTTTCTGTATTAAAAAATTCAATCAAGTGTGTTTTTCGGTGAAAGAAACAGTTTTCCATCAATACAAAACTACAACGATATCATCATTGTCATCATCATCAATTGCGCACGTTTCCGCGTGCGTCTAGACGCAACGCGCCGGAAAGCGTGTGTGCACTGCGTCTCCGCCGTCAATGCAAACGAAGTAAGAAGCACCGAGAGTCAAAGCTAAAATCCGCATTCAAGACAAGATGGCAGGGTTGCCCCGCAGGATCATTAAGGTAATCGTGAAGTGAGACACACTGCACATTTTTAGTCTATCTTTTTTAATTATAACTCCACGAAATCCTCAAATATCATTGTAATTATCAGCCAAAGAGAAGCGACAGATGGCTTAGCGTTTGGTACTGTATTTGTTAGCCACTTCCGTTTCGGTACATTCAGTCGTATCCCGAATATGGGCGGGTTAAAAATACATTCACCGCTGTGAAAAATGGTGGAGGGCCTGTGTCTTATTCATTACTATTTGGGGTACAGAATCAAAAGCATTAAGAAATGACAAACGTTCCCATACTAACTGAAGTCTAAATGAGAGTGGCTCGCTCGCGGCCATTCATTGCTTAAGCTCGAGCTGTTGTGTGTGTGAGCTCGCGAGACTGCTAACAGCTCCAGAGACGGCTAGCTAGGCGTAAAAACTTAGTAATATAATCCGATTTAAGCAGTCACAATTAATTTCACAACGATTTTACATATATATTATATATGTATACCCATTTTACTGGGTGTAGGATGTCTATCTGTCCATTTAGGGCACGATCATTTGCAAAATAATTTGTCTCGCTCGCTTCCTGTTGGCTAGGGAAGCTGTTGCGATGCTTCTGCTAAACGAGCTAATGACTGAAGGCCCCAAACAGCAGAAATGTCAAATAAAACACAACATGAGGTAAAACATTAATTAAAGAACGGCCCATCCTAAATGAGAACTGTTGTTTATTTTCACGGAAAATGTCAACATTTGTAACGTTCATCCAAAATTCATATTAAAATCGTCATCGTTTATTAACTTATGGTGTTGCAAATCAAAAACAAAATATTTATGTCAGTCTAGAACGCAGAAGGAAATGTTAGACAGAATGAAAGTCTCCATTCACTTTCTATGTGTGAAAAAAATGCACAATTCTAGTCTCACAGATAAACGTCATATTCTTTTGAACAGCAGGAGAGTGAACAAATAATGACAGGATTTTCTTTTTTTAAAAACACAATGAAAATAATTTGGAACAGATTTATGGCTAGTGAAATTACGTAAAGGGCTTCCTCCTGATAAAAATCACAACTCTGAGTCTGGTTTCATTTTATTGTACAGTACGTGCACTTACATGTGTCACTGTACTTAAGAAAGTACTGGGTAATACAAGGTAATGGGTTAGGGTTGGTTTAGGGGTAGGTTCAGGGTTAGTACCTAGTTATTACCCAGTTATTGTAACAACTATAATACGTACATCCTATAAATGCGGAACAGGACTGTAAAATAAAGTTCTACCATGAGTCTGAATGCATGTTTCCGCATTTTATTTAGATTAAATAGATTAGGCCCTGGGTATATCATTGCTGCTTCATATTTTGTGTATATTATCAAGAAGGTTTCTCGCTTTGCGTTGTCCACTACTGCTGTTGTCCAGTAATTAATGCTTATATGTCGAGGACTTACAGGAATGTTTGACCACAGGGAGAAAACTTTCTTTTATTTGCACCGTCCTCTGAATAGGACATTGAAACAGTAGGTTTGCGTGTGAAATGAACTGAGTGATGTGAGTGGGAGGGATGGGAATGCATCCTTGATGGCCTGTTCCCCAAGCATGAGACCATGACAGGGAGCCCCTCTCTTGTCTGTGTTTGCTCTGCATGGTTTTGTCTGTAGGATATCTGAAACATGCGAGGAATTTCATTGTGAGCACAATGTATATGCTAGGTTAAAGGATCAAAGTAATGTAATGAATGTGATGATAAACAGTTTGAGAGTCATTATCACACAATAAACCCCTCTAGATCGTCACATTAAGGTCCTGATCATGCGGTCAGGCATTAATTGATCAATGCACATTATTTCTTACATGATTGCGCTATAGTGTAAGATTTATTACAAAAGATTTCTATTTAAATTAAATGTTGTTCTTTTGAACTTTCTATTCATCAAAGATTCCTGAAAACTTGTTTGTTTGATGATGATAAAAAATTATTCTTGAGCAGCGAATCAACATATTAGAATGATTTCTGAAGGATCACGTGACACTGAAAACTTGAGTAATAATGCTGAAAATTCAGCTTTGTCATCACAGGAAAAATAACATTTTAAGATCTATTTAAATAGAAGTTATTTTAAATTAAAATTTCAGAAACATTAAAAAAAAGTCCAAAACCCAAACGTTTGAAGGGTAATTTACATTAGATCTTTCTTGGTTGGTTGATTGATTTTTAATTGTATATGACAGCTTTTATTAACCAGTATCAGGATTATAAAAATATATCAAGCTAGATTTGTTCAGTTGAAATACTGGAAGTACTAGAAGAGTCTTGTTTTACAGGTTCATTATCATATGGCCAAAAAACCCTCCTTTTTTGAACCAGGTTGCAGAACATGTGTGGTAGCTTTTGAACATAGGTTATAACACTGAGATTGTAATATCCACTTTTTGAAAGAGTTCTCGGATGTCAAACAGTCAATCTATAAGGTGTAGAGTGCAGCATAGTACAGCAGTTCTCAGATGAACAACGTCTCCAGACTCAAGCATTCCACAGGTGATATCAGATTCTCATTAGTCATAAGGGTGTGTGTTTCAAAAGGACTGTCAGGGTCAGCCCTGTTTCTCTCTCTAACTGAATGCAAAGTGTCTGTCTTGATTGTCTTGTAATGATTGTCAGTTTAACCCTTGTTGTAGTCTTGGTTTTAGATGAAAATGTTTCTGGAACATGGGTTGTATTTTGAGATATTACTCCATGTTAAACGTCATTGAGCAGTGCAAGATGCTGATACAGGACTGCATCAAGACTTATCATGGAATAAAAAGATATAAAACCATGCTTGATATTGAAATAGCAAGATACTGTCTTTTCTAATGTGGTGCAAACTAAGAGGGAGTGTTTACTGAAAACATTTATAGTGCCTAACCAGTAACATTTGTGGTGATGTAAGATCGTCCTCTGCCCTACTGAAGGTTAAGGGTACTGTATTATCTGTAAATATTGTAGTTCTGACATTGGTTACTATATTTAAGCACACATAAAGTTTGTGACTTTGTTGAAATTTACATCTTTTCCTATTTTTCGTGGTTAACATAGTTGTGCATACGTAGTCAGTAAGGTTTTTCTTAAAAAACATTTTTTGAAAGAAGTCTTTTATGCGCACAAAGGCTGCATTTATATGATCAAAATACAGTAAAAGCATTATTATTGTGAAATAATTACATTTAGATGTCATTTATTCCTTTGATGACAAAGCTGAATTTTCAACATCATTACTCCAGTCTTTAGTCACATAATCCTTCAGAAATCATTTCTAATTGTCTGATTTGCTGCATAAGAAACATTTCTTATTTTTATCAATGTTGAAAACAGTTATGATCTTTTTTTTCCCAGGATTTAATAGAACGTCCAAAATAATAGCAATTATTTGAAATGGAATTCTTTAAAAATGGTTTTGTATACAAATAAGAATGTAGGTCGGACTCACATTTTACCATCCATGTTTAAATTCATTTTGCCATTTTGACCCTAAAATCAGTGCTGAAAGTGTATATGGGCCTGGCCATACCAATATCTAATTAAAAAAAAGTATTCATAAAATTATAAACCTAGAATTATTCATGACCTGTCAGTCCATGGATCACTTTACAGGTTTGTTTGCCATTTGAATGTTGTTGTTGATGCAGGACAATTTGTCTTTTGTTACATAGCAATTGTGCAAGGTAACAATGTGAAATTATACAGTTTTTTCAAAGACAAAATTCTGTTGTCACTGTGTACTTATGTTGGCTCTTTCTACTGTTTTGTTTACTCCCATGTACTCGACCGTCTCACTGCCAGTGCTTTGGCTAATCAGCTGAGTGTGTAGAGATGCCTTATGTCCCCGCCAGCCTAATTGATCTTGTTTCCGTGTGTGTGTGTGTGTGTGTGTGTGTGTGTGTGTGTAGGAAACACAGCGTTTGTTGGCAGAGCCGGTGCCAGGTATAAAGGCAGAGCCAGATGAGGGGAACGCTCGCTACTTCCACGTGGTCATCGCCGGACCTCAAGACTCCCCCTTTGAGGGGGGAACTTTTAAACTTGAACTCTTTCTTCCTGAAGAATATCCCATGGCAGCTCCGAAAGTACGCTTCATGACCAAAATATATCACCCTAATGTAGACAAGCTGGGAAGAATATGTCTAGATATTTTGAAAGGTGAGAGACCATTTTATTCCATCTTCTTCAACTTTCAGATTATACTGATTTTACTCATCGTGACCTAAACATGATTAAGAATTTTTAATGCTTTAATTCTGTTGTAATTGAATGCCATTATTTTTTTAAATAGCAAAATGTACACTTTGAAATTAATCTGAGATGATCACTAGATTTTCCATTAGTCAGTTATCATTTATTTATTCTGAAGGGCCTTTTTCTAACATATCATGATGCATACTTAATTTTTATTCAGCAAGGATGCATCACATTGACCAAAAGTGACAGTAAAGACATTTACAATGTTACAAAAGATTTCTATTTCAAGATTTTCTCTTTCTATTCATCAAATAATCCTGAAAATGTATCAAGGCCAAGGGGTTCACAAAAATCTTAAAGGTGACCTATAAATCAAAATTGAATTTACCTTGGTATAGTCAAATAACAAGAGTTCAGTGCATGGACATGACATAGAGTGAATCTCAAACTGGACTGTTTTCGCGTTCTCATTTAATTCACGTTTATGAAAAACACCCCTGAAAAAACGGTCGGTTCTCCACACAATACCGACTGTGACGCAATAGTCGGGATCATTAATATGTACGCCTCCAAATATTTGCATAATGCCAGCCCTCAATGCCAGGCGGAACTGCGCAGCCGAAGCATGGCAGTTGCTCAGTGTGGATGTACACATGAACACAAAAGTATTTTTTAGTTCCTTCGTGTTTGCATTGGTGAAAGCAGAGAGAGAGCAGAAACTGCTTTGCAATGATAAGATCTTCATTCTCGCGATCAACACACAGTCATCTGCTCAATGCTCATCACGGCAACATTTTATGTGATGGGAATAGGTCTAAATACTTTAAAAACATCTCACGATTCGTTAATCTCGATAGCTGTTATAGTAAAAACGTATAATAGCAGTAGTAAAAGTATTCGGGGAGAGAGTTTCACATGTAAAGCCTAGTTCACACTACATGATTTTAAAACGTCGGGCTGAACTGTCCGGTTCACACTACATGACTTGCTCTCTGTGAAATCAGGAGTGTTAAAGTTGTTGAGCTGTTCACACCACACGACACAACGTGATTAGTCCGCAACAGGAGGTAACGCACTACACGAGTTGACAACAACTCTGTCACCCAACGATTCAATCTTGTCTACAAACCACGTTTTGTCACAAAAAATCACGCGATAAAAGGAACCGGAAATGACGTGAAACATCACGCGCGCTAATACCCAGCGAAGAAGACGAAGACCCATGCCTTGCTCTGATTGGAGCAACCCATGCCTTGCTCTGATTGGCTGTAGCTCATGACATCACTGAGGTTGAGTCGGGCGACAGCTCTGGATATCTAGCATGCTAGATATTTTTCTGGGCTCGGCGACGCGTCTGCGAGGCGTCAGCGAGCGTCTTTGATGCGTTGTTGGCTCTTTCATACTAACAGATTGGCAAGCGTCCATCGTCCACTAATCCTCTGCGATTTGCACGCGATAACACCCTGACCTGTCGGCGAGCTCAACGATTTGCAAATCGGGCTTAAATCGGGCTTATAATCCTGTAGTGTGAACTAGGCTTAATGCGTAGCTATTTCATATGCAAGCATGTCAGCCAATCACAGCAGTGGCCGCGGTTACACTGAATCTCACAGCAGACACGCCCCTTCAAACAGAGTGTTCAAATCAGAGGCTAAAAGCAGGCTAGGAAAAATGCCATTTATTTCTAAATTATGGATATTTTTTATCTAAAAAACATACTAACATTATAAGGGTAACCCAGGAAACATTATAAAAAATAAAAAAAAACATTCTAGGGCACCTTTAAGCACTACTTTGTATTCATCAAAGAATCGTGAAACATATAAGTATCATGTAGGGCTGGGAGAAAAAATCAATTCACCTAGCTATTGCAATTTTTTTTTTTTACGATTTTAAAAGCATTTTTTTTTTTTTTCAGAATCGATATTAATTCGATTATAAACTTTATTTTTGTCCTTGCTTGTAGATGAGGTTGACAGAAGTTAGCCACTTTCGTTCCAACAGAGGATGAAATGTGTCGTTATCTATGAGTGTTGAGTGACGTAATATCCCAAGTGGACCCTTGGAAGAGACGTGAGACTGAAAAGCCCTTGCGCTACTCATATGCTGAGAGAGAGATAAGACAATAGAGCTGCACGATTCATCTTTAAAAGACTGTGATCTTGATTCAAACACCCACGCGATCTTTCAATTCGTCTTTAAACTTTGACAAAATCATATCGCAACATTCAAAGCTGTGTTGGCGCTGCCGCTGACCTGGAGAGAGTTGTCATGAAACAGCTTCACAAACAGTCTTTTCAACCTCATAGTATCATTATTTTTGTGATGCAATAGTTAAAATTATCATAGAAGTACTTGGAAAAAAGTTTAAAGTTCAAATATGAACACTGATGTCTAGGTGTATTGTCCCAGCCCTAATATCATGGTTTCAACAAATATTAAGCAGCACAACTGTTTTCAACATTGATGATAATAATAAGAAATGTTTCTTGAGCAGAGCACCAGATCAGCATATTATAATGATTTCTGAAGGATCATGTGACACTGAAGATTGGAGTAATGGCTTATTGTCAATTAATTTATATTTGAATTTATATGAATGCTAGATATTACAATATCAATATTTCTCATTAATTGTCTCATGATTGTTTATGTTTGCATCTGATGCCCATAAAGAGAGAGAGCACAGAAAATGGGAGAAGTAGAAGATTGCCAAAAATAAACACATACATAAGAACATATTTAACCTTTTTATTCAAAATATTTATTTATTTATTTCTGAAGTCTGTGCTAGTACTGGCGAAATGTTGGACAGTAGAAATGTTAAAGGACGTCTTGTCTTTTTCACCCCCTTTTAGGTGAAGAAAGGTAGGCGATAAAATGTACTATTAAAATAAGGGACATTAGGATCTTGTCCCTAGAGAGTATGGCAGAAAAATTAATAAGTTATGATTTCTGAAAAAGACTCTTTATCTTTACCTCAGAGCAATGGCAGTTTGAGTCTATTAAATTTTATAGCTCCCTTACCTGATATGTACATACTGTGAAAGATGTGCCCATTTAATCTCTGTAGGAAGATTGAGGATCTCAGATTACACTTTTGACCCCATAGAGAATGATCCCTCTTCTCAACTGTACATGGCTAGACTTAGCGCATATGAAAGCTAGCAGCTACTTTTCTCCTAATGCTCTTTCTCTTGTTGATCTCTCTCCATGGCATGATGTCACACAGATAAGTGGTCTCCAGCCTTGCAGATCCGCACAGTGCTGCTATCAATCCAGGCATTACTAAGTGCACCCAACCCTGATGATCCTCTAGCAAATGATGTCGCAGAGCAGTGGAAGTCTAATGAAGCTCAAGCCATAGAGACAGGTGGGTGCTGGTTAAATGCGTTTAAAGGGATGGTTCAATGAAGAATAGATATTGCTAATGTTTATTTGTCCGCTTGTTCTACATTGATTTAAATCAGAGGTTTTTCTGGGAGCTTTAAGAGGCCAGCGGCACTACTTCATTAGCCGTGTTTCCACTGTCGGGACAAAAGCGAGCATGCTAGTGCGTGCCAGGGCCACTGTCACTTCTGCGGCTTAATCGGGCCTCATCTGGGCTTCCTCAGGGCCAACAGCCTGGGGTTTTTGGCCCACTGAATACCTTGGTCCAAATCAGTCCAACTGGGGCTTGAGGAGTGATCATGAACAAAGGCGGAGTCAGGAGAGGGTCAACACTGCTGTTTTCATATCAGGTTACCAGTTAACCTCAACATTTAAAACAATTTTCAGCTCAAACTTCCTTTCAGACACCAGCGAGTGTTTGAAATAACGTCCGATTGTGACCCGATGGGGATTCTGATCACTGTATGAGGCAGAAATATATGTGATGCTAAAGGCTGCTAACCATTGTGAAACTAAATACACATATGAATATGGAAAATACATATATGATAATATAACTCTGTTGCTCTTGCTGAAAGGATAACGGTATAGTGAGACAGGAGAGATCTTTTAAACCTCATTAGAGCACATAATTTCATGGGAAATTAATAGAAATGCTCATTCTTTCTTAAGAAATGTGACGTGAACAAATAAATAGGAAGCAGGTGCAACAGAATAAGTATTTGTTCTCTTTTTATGTAGTTTTCAGTCAGCTAGGTGTGACGCCATTCTATGGAGGCGGGTTTTAGGGTAGCTCTGGGGGGCGAGCGACTGGCCTGACAGTGGAAACGCAGCTTAATTTTAGCCTTGAGGCTAGTGGCCCCGCCGGCACGCTGTTAGTCCTGGCTCTCGCTGGCCTGATGATGGAAAAGCGGCTATTGATAATCTTTCTGACGCAAAGGATAATGCAGAATAGTTATTTTCATGTACTGTCTTTGAAGTACATTGTTTGGCTATTGCTAATCAGAGAAAATCCACACCCTTTTTATTCACACAACTGTAGTTGAAGTCAGTTTTGTGCTGAAGATACCAACTAATTTATCTCTACATAGTGTGGGAAAGCATTTGGGGGTGTATTAACTCTGTATTTGTTTGTCTTTTTCAGCTCGAACATGGACCAGGCTTTATGCCGGGAACAATATTGAAGTCTAGAAATGTTTGGGGGCACAAAAAGAGAGAAAAAAATGGAAGTCAAGAGTGAACAACTCCATGTTCTGCCAAGACCTATTCATTTTCATGTAAAGGACACAGTCTTAGGAAACAAACAAAAAATATGATAAACTGAAAAGAATATATTAACAAAAGTAAACAGAAAACTTCAGACAATTTGTGATTTAAATGCACATTAGTACAAAAAAAAAACCACGTCTTTGTCCTGATTCACTGCTGTTCTGATGCATGGGCAGATGATCTACTCATACGGCTTTCTTTTACAGTGGTTGGGGAGGTAGCCACAGACTTCTGCTATGAAGCGTGCATTAAAACTGACTGTCATTTTGTCTGTTCCATTGCATTTTTGTTGGGAGGGAGGGAGGGGAGGGGGGGGGGGGGGGGGGGAGAAATTTTTACATTTCTTTTAACCTTTTTTTTCTTCTCATTGCACTTTGTTAATGAGGAGCAGCAGACTAGCCCCTGTTTAGAACACTTGTCAGACCTACCCTCTTAGAAAAAAACCTAGCAAAAAAAGTATAGGTTCTTTAAACCGAAAAAGAGATGCAAGATTGAAACCACATGCAATCAGTAATTTCACCTAGGAAATGATTCAAATGAAAAGTTTTTCCACCATTACAGAAACTGTTGAAGATGTAAACCCTAATGTAGAATTAGTTCTGGACTATGGGTAAGGTAGAGCCTAGAGAGAAGGGAGATTTTGCGTAATATTGCTTTAGTATAACAATTCTGTTATCATATTTGGTTTTTAGTGTTTTGTTTTATCTATCTTGCCATCGCTGTACTAATTGCACTCTTGAAACTCCATTGCGTGCTTTTATTCTTGTGTCCATCACAGTCCAGTGCATTGAGATTCATTGGTCTGTTTCTTCCCTTCAGCATTTATATTGAAACGCCAAGGTTGCAGGGGACTGGAGATGAATGATAAATAGTATGATTTTAGTAAAGGGATGAGGGGTGGGAATGTTTGCAGAAACATTGCAAAAGATCAATAAATGCTTTGTCTCAATTTCCTCGATTGGTCTTTGGTTAAAATGTCAACTTCAAATCTGTTTGTAAATTCCTGCTTTCTAAAGGGGACAAAATCCTACTTTATAAAATGTGATGACAACAGTCCACACACATATTTCTGTTCTTTCTGTAAATAAAATCTGTTGATTAATAAGAAATATTTATGTGGTGCTTTTATTACATTTCTGAGAATGACAAGCAGGTTAACTGCTCATTTGTTTTGTTTTTTTCTTATGCTGTTCTCCTACCTTTCAGTAGGCTTTCATAAGACAATGATAGTCACATCTTAGTTGATCATTACTCGAAAATAACCTGGAGCAATCAATTACAGATTTATTTCACTTGAAGTAATTCCACCAAGTACATCTTTAAAGGATTTTGTAAGTTCTGAAGATGGTTGTTCATCATCATTAAATTGTATTAACTGTTAATAATGAAGGAATTGCGGATTAAACATTTAAGTTGGTTTCCCATGCAATTTCACAGAACTGCTCTTTTGTTGTTAGTAACGCGAATTCCGACTCATTTCTATGAATCGGTTCTTTTCATAGAAACGATTAAACGCTTCGACGATCAGGCTGCGCCTGACATTACGGGTATGGCCAGTTTAGAACATATAAAGTTAAGACAATTCTAAAACTAACTTACATCTGTTTACTTCAAAGTTTTTGCACGTTTTAATAAAAAAAATATGTGCTGATAAAACTGTAAGGTAATCTTACGTAAACGTTTCCAGTAGGCTTTTTATGTTTCATTTCAACTATAAAAGTAATGTTCTTTTACTTCCATAAGTCAAATCCTTGATTCACTCTTGTTATGTAACCTGTCAAAAAAAAAAAAAAATCGTTTATTCAAGAACATTTCGGACGGGTTCAGTCCGTTATATAAGCTAATGTTTTGTAAACCGGTTCAGCATCAAAAAGATCCGACTTAAAATAATAGTTATAACTATAGTTTGCTGTCTGGTTAACTCTTAAAATTGTTCCATTACAGGGTTAGTTCATCCAAAAATGGAAATGTTGTTATAATTTACTTACCCTAATGTTGTTCCAAACAAACCTTTATGAGTTTGTTTCTTCTGTTGAACACAAAAGAAGATAGCTAGTTTAAAGAATGTTGGTGACAGTAAGACGGTAGCCAAAAAAATTACTATGGAATTCAACGGATGACGTCAACTGTCACCAACATTCTTTAAAATATCTTCTTTTGTGTTCAACAGAAGAAATAAACTCATACAGGTTTGGAACAACATTAGGAGGAGTAAATTATGACACAATTTTTATTTTTGTGTGAACTATCCCTTTAATACTCGGGTACCAGCAGATGGCGCCAATACAACATACCACCCCCATCTCAGTTATTTATAACGCTGCAGTGTTGCTTTTGTCTCTGCTACTTTAAATCAATAACTGACCATTGTATCAAATTTATAGCGATGCAGCATAGTTCAATTACCCGCTTCAAGCGTCGGTGAATCAATTTCCCCCCTCCTCTGGCGGCTGAGATGATGTCTCATTCATATTTCCAATAAGGGAAACGCCTATCTGTTGATGACATCTTGGGTTTGTAACGCAGATCCTATTGCAGCTGATTTAAGGCGACTGCGCAGAACTGAAGAGCCGCAGCAGAGGAGTGTTCACACTTCACACAGCACCAACCTGACACCATGGTCAAGATGAGAACACCCCAACTCACAATCTCCGCTGTCCAGAGAGGAATTATGTCTTTAACATGAGGCACGTCTTATAAATGCAAACTGCATGATCAGCCTGGAAAATCTGGGACGACTTTCAGCTCTTGGCCTGAAAGACAGTTGCGTTGAGCGTACGATCCAACAACTAGGCAACCGAGAACACTTGTATTCTTGTTTTGTTCGGAGAAAACCCCACATGATGAAATTCAAGCCAAATCAGACAAGGACATATGACGGAGAGGGCTTCAAAAAACGAGCAGCGTGTCTATGTTTCAAGAACGATCGGGAGGACGAGGTAAGGCTGAGAAAAGTGCAAATGTGGTTGGTGGTTTATCTAGTGTTATAACTGTCGACTACTGTACGACTACTATTGCATACACACACGTCAGAAATAGACATTGAAACCTGTTTGTGACATTCCTTGTTACTAAGTAGGCAATTTTATTTTACCAGGACTTATTTCTTAAATCAATGTAAGCCAACAATTAGTGTATAGGATCATTAGATTCTTGTTCTATAACACGTCAACATAATGTATCATTAATTGATTAACTAACTAACAATGAACAATACATTTATTTCACATCTTTTTTTAACGTTTGTTAATAATACAACGGTTCATTGTTAGTTAATTTTAGCTCAGGTGCATTAAATAGGCTAACAGATGGAACTTGATTGTAATAATTTATTATAAGTCAATGTTTAAAATAAACTTACTAATATTAATGAACGTTTTAAAAGTATTTTTCATTGTTAGTTCATGTTAACTAATGGAACGTTATTGTAACATGTGACCCCCTAATTAGTTACCACTGTTAGTGTTAACTGTTCCACTGCAACTTTGCTGTTGAGTATCTTCCGACTATGAAGTTCCTCCTTTATGCCTTACGTCAAGTTCCTTGGACTGTTAAACATATATTCTGTTGAACTGTAATTTTTATAATACTGCTAGAAAATGCTTTAATTTAGAAACATGTTTACATGAAATATTTCAGAATGTATCACCCACATGTAGCCTATTTTAGATTTTCTATGAAATGTTTTATATAATAATTTATAATTTTATGGATTGTGATATTGTGTAGCCCGTAGCTAACGTGGCGTTAAAAAAAAAAAAAAAAAAAAAAAAAAAAAAAAAAATTCCGACTATGTATTACAGATGCAGCAGTTATATAATCCAAATTTCCCAGCAACTATTTAATAGGTACTAGTACTTATTTATAGTTATGTTTCAGCTTTATTTGATACCTGTGACTATAGTTGTTACCAGGCCTACCTTTTTTTATTACAGTTGTTAATCAGAATAGCTACAAATATTGGTCACACTTTAGTTTAGTGTCCAATTATCACTATTAACTAACTATCTCGAACTTTTGCCTCAATAATCTCCTAATTACTGCTTATTAATAGTTAGTAAGGTAGTTGTTAAGTTTAGGAATTGGGTAGTATTAAGGGATGTAGAATATGGTCATGCAGAATAAGGCATTAATCTGTGCTTTATAAGTACTAATAAACAGCAACTAGTTAATAGTGAGAATTGGACCTTAAACTGTTACCAAAATTGTACTTGTAAGATGAAAAATGAATCTTGAAAAATGAATGAATGAATCTATTTAAATAGTATCATAAAAGCAGGAATAGGCCTATGTTCTAATAACCTGAATAATTAAAAGTAACTAAATAATATTACAAATAAAGATTACACTTTACAATAAGCTTCTCAACACTCAATGACCACTAATCCATGATTCATGTCTAGAAATATATGACTGTGCATGGAGGACTGATGGCAGGTTTTATAAATGTAATCAATGAGATCAGCACACTAAAAGCCAGCAGTGAGCTTTACTCCTGAGTAATGACAGCTGTTCAAAACAGGTAACAATATGAGTAGCCTATATGAGAGCGAGAATAAAGGAACACAATGTTCTTAATAAGCATGGTTGCACTTGTTAACTAATCTCTTTAAATGTACTGTATATTGTGAGATTTTGTTTTCATAGAGTTAGTTTGCTTGGTCTGGTCTGTCTCAGGTATTTTTTAATAAGACGGACTTAGTTGAACTGTTGTTTTATAGAGCTGGATTTAGTGCGTAGCGTACTAAGATTTTTGTGATTGAATGGCGAATGCTTGACATGTACAGTACAGTACAGACTATTTATGCACCTTGTCCTCTAGGCTCAAAATGTCAAATGGATAGTCACAAACAATCACCCAAAAATGTATAATTTACATAATTTACTCACCCTCGTGTCATTCTAAACCTGAATGACTTGCTTTAATCTGTGAGCTATTTTGATTTTTTTTTTTTTTTTTGTCTATGCTTTGAAAGTGTTCCACATAATTTAAAGTCTCTCATTGAGAAAGTACAATCAAATTGATCACCCACAGCATTTTGCGACCTCCTCGAAAGTAGTTTCTGCTTAGACTAAAAAACTGTCTATTATGAAACTTGTCAGTCACAGTCGAGGTGTTCTTGACTCCTGAGACGAGGGCTTGACCTGATGTGGAAAGTGCACTCAGAAATTACAGGAAAATGCTGTTGTATACACAAATACTCCCCCATAGATGTCTTCTTTTCCTTAAATGAACTTGACCAAACTACCATGTCAGTGAATCTTTAATTAAGTAGTACTAGAGTTGTCAAAGTTACATAAAGCATGTTGAGGCACGGGAGCCTCCGAACCTGAATGTTCCGCATTGCAACAGGACCTGGTCTCCCAGGTTTCTCCTCCATGTGATTAGCACTAAGAGAGGGGAGGGGGGAGTAAGTTACACTATGTTCTAAGGCTCCAAGTGACATATCAGCAGCAATTTATAGAACCAGAATGACAGCAATTACTGTCCCCTGACTGAGTCCTTTCTCCACTTTTTTAATCTCTCTTTCTTTCTAATTGTTTTAACTGATTGCTGTCCAGCTCTCTTTTATCCGCCTCTTTGGGAAGGATCTTACCTCTTTTTGGTGTATTTCTATGCTCTTCTGATCATTTTAAGTGTTGAGTACAGGAACTCTACTGTGGACGTCAATGCATTCCTGCCGTGGTGATAGTTAGCTGAGTACAAGCTACAACATAGCTCACTCGGGAGAAGTGCAGTCCTTTAGCTCATCTGCTGTTTGTGCTTTTGTCCTACAAGATCTCACAAAGCCTCATAACAGGACTGGGGGAAAATAGCAATTTCTTGATTTTAATCAATTCTCATTTTGATGAACCGATATGGATTCTTAAATCCCAAGAATCGATCTTTTGGTCTATGCTGTTTTCAGTTGATTAATGAAAGAAACGTTGTAGCGTGCATGCCATGACATCAGAACCCGGAAGTCTAACTCGCCGCTGGTTCCTTAGAGAATTCCCTATGTTTTTTTTTAATGGGGTTTTTCAATTTATGGGTAAAATAAAGCCTGTGGTAAACATAACTTGATGATACTTTGACGACGCTTGGTTCTACAAGGTAATTTACTCACACCCATATCGAAAATGCTAATTTTAAAGCAGTAGTGTTTATTTTTGGAAACATATCTTTCTAATTGGTAACTAAACAAGACAGTTTTGGGTGTGTGCAGTGTATGTTGTAGAAAAAAAAAGTCAAAGTATCGTCAAGAGTCAAGACCTTATTTTACTTATGAATTGAAAACCCCCATTATAAAACCCCACAGGAAAATCTCGAAGGAACCAGCTGTGAATTAGACTTCTGGGTTCTGACGTCACCTGCACTGTTACTTTTGTAATGAAACAAAGTCTCAGCTTTCGAATTCTGTCAATTTTATAATAAAATTCAAACAATGAATAACGTTTTGGCACTCTTTAAAGTCCCTGTGAACCACAAGTTGCAACCGACTTTACTTCAGTGTTGTGACGTATTTCCCAGTGAAACAGAATATTGAATAGGGGTTTTACTTTAGCACACCTCATCTCCATCCCTTGCTCATAGCAGACTGATGGTTGGAGGGAGGTGGTTAAGGATATAGAGTGGTGCAGGTATGACATCACTTTGTAGGCCAAAACGTGGAAGCGAGTTAGTAATTTAGCACTTCCGGTTCCATCGTCCCGAAGTCAATGGGTTTTTTGAATGGGTTTTTTGTTAAATGGCTGAAATAAGGTATGTGGTGAACACTAACTCAAGGCACTTTCACGTTTTATTCCGTGGCATAAAATACCTCAGGATTACCCCAGGCGGTTGCTAACAATTGGCTAAATGGGACTACAGAGGCAGTCGAGGAGATTAAACGTCATCATGCTGAACATGTAAGCTCAGTTCGCTGTTACAGCCTCGCTATGCTTATAATTGTGCTCTTATAAACTATTCTAACTCAACCTTTCTGGAGAAAAGTCTTTAAGATAACCGAAAGAGTTGTCGGAAGCTTAGTGATGGTGACTTTGAAATCATGGGGCCGTGATGTACGCTAGTTCGTTCATAGCCTACCTTTTGCTATTTACTTCTGGTGACTGCATTTAGGCTTCAAAATTCATTAAAGTTGTGTTCATCTGTGAAAATTATGAACAAAACAAAACGTGTAAGTATCATAAACTTTTGTTGATCACAGAGCTTGTTTTTAGCGACAATCCAAAAGCCTATGGGAAAATCCTATTGAGTTTTTCTCGAGGGAACCAGTGTGATGCTAACTGCTTATTGGCCTACAAAGTGAAGTCATACCTGCACCACTCTATTCCGGAGCGGAAGCTTGGAATCGTGGAAAAATTACCAAGACAAACAAATGTTTTTTCTAACTTCCCCGGATTAATTAATTAATTGTTCACCACAAGAATAGTACTGTGCGCTAACAAAGTAAATGGGGTCAATTTGGATTTCATGATGACTTTAATGTTGCGCAGTAGCCTGGTTAAAACCAGACCATTCTCAGTTGTAACTGAGTTATGGTCTGCCAAAGCGTCATAGACAAATCATTTCCAGAGGGGCGTCACCAACGGATAGACCTAAAACCAATCAGAGCGATGAAGGAGATCACGTATGCAGAGCGGCGGAGAAACACTGTGAAACACTCCGAGTGTTGTTCTTTGCTCGGTTTTTAACAAAAAGGAAACGTTCAAATCGCTTAAAACAGACGCGATAGCTGATTCGAACGAGTGATGTTCGACGGCGGCGTCCATCTTTGTAATGTAGGCTACAAAATCTGCTTCAAAATCTCAGGGCTGTCGTCATCGTGTAAAGCCCGCCCCAACGTTTCTGATTGGTGCCTCGATTTCGACGGATTGGAAATGGGCTTGAATGGTATGTTAAGGTATGTTAAAAGATACAAATTTTGTAATATGTCTCTCATGTAATCCTTGAATCAGT